TTTAAGAAATGATAGATGTTTCTGTTGTTTTACTTTTTAAAAAACTTTTTAAGGTTTTATTTATTTTTGAGACAGAGACAGAGTGTGAGTAGGGGAGGGGCAGAGAGCGAGGGAGACACAGAAGCCGAAGCAGGCTCCAGGCTCTGAGCCATCAGCACAGAGCCCGATGTGGGGCCCAAACTCACAAACCATGAAATCACGACCTGAGCTGAAGTCAGCTGCTTAACCGACTGAGCTACCCAGGTGCCCCTGTTTCTGTTGTTTTATTAAATAAAATCAAAATAAGTGACCAGGGTGTTTTTCTTCACTAATAGCAACATTCAAACACAATTCAAGTGTGTTTTTACACTTTAGACACTGCATTGTAAGTGCGAAATTTAAAAAATAAGACAGTTCTAGCTGATCAAGCTGAAAATGTTGAAATTAACTAATTCAGTGTTGACTTTTTTCTGTTTCCTTAGAGCTAGGAAAGGAATGGCTTATCTTATTTTTTAATTACTAAATGTTTCCTAAATTTTTATGATTGGTGGATGATTGAAGTCAAAGCCACTGTATACTTAAAAGGCTGTTTAACATGGAATTTCCTAGGTATTTCAGATAAATCCAGAAGCCCGAGCAACTTCTCTTCTTTCACGGGTGTTGTCAGTAGAGGTCTCCTTAGAACCTGAGATGTATGGAAGTGAAGGTCCTTTGGAAACTAATCCTGCAGTTACTGAGGGATACTTTCCAGTGGTGTTAGAAGTGCAGGGCTGGAGATGTTGGAGCTAGAATGCAGATGGGCAGGTGGTGCTGGCTTAGCGCCTGGGAGTGACAGGTGTGTGCCAGCAAGGCCTTGAGAGAGTTGGGGCAGAGTGGAGTTTCTAGGGATGGTGGAGGGAAAGGAGGAAGAGGAGCCAGGAAGGGGAGAGAGCAAAGCCAAGTCTTTGGAGGAAGAGAACACATCTTAGAGACTTCAGGAGGAGAGATCTGGAGGCTAAGGGGTCCAGTGAGGCCAGTGGCTTTAACTAGCAGGGAGAAATTGCTTCTGCAGAAAGGACAGTTTCGGGTCAGTGGTGGACGGGCATTGTAACTTGTGTGAGGTTAAGAGAGTAGGTCAAGAGGAAACTCAGGTTACAAAAGAATCAAATGTATCTCAAAGGCTTTGGTGGAAAAAGAGAGTTGGGGCACCTGGGTGGCTCAGTCAGTTAAGCATCTGATTTAGACTCAGGTCATGATCTCACAGCTCGTGAGTTCAAGCCCCACGTCGGGCTCTGTGCTGACAGCTCAGAGCCTGGAGCCTGCTTCGAATTCTGTGTTTCCCTCTCTCTCTGCCCCTCCCCTGTTCATGCTCTCTCTCTCTCTTTCTAAAATAAATAAATATTTTAAAAGATTACAAAAAAGAAGAAGAAGAAAAAGAGAGTTGATAGTAGCCAAGCAGGTGAAGCACACTGCATGTTCTAGGACAGAAGTAGAGAAGCCAAGGGAGACCCCAAATCAGCTGGGAAACAAGAGGTTTTATGGGGAAGTCCATAGAAATAAGGGGAGAACATCTATGCCTGGTCATGACTGAGCCTCTGCAGGCATGTGCATTTCCAAAAGGTTTAGACTTTGTTCCATTTGTATATATGAAGAACCTTCGATTCCAGATTGCAGATTTGGACATCTTTCTGTGACAGTGAGAACAGTGAAGGTTTTTGTATATGTGGGGATTTTGAGTGATCATTTTCCCTGAAACTGTAAAGACACTTCTATGTGTCAAGCACTGCATCAGGGCTTTTTATTCTGTATGAGGTTATTTAATTCTTGCAACAACCCTTCAAGATG